TGTATCTTAGTTTAAGTTTCCGTGAATAAGGGCCCAGCTCTTTATCTTAATCGTACATAATGTATCTCTGTTGAATTTTCATTTTGTATCCTTGAGGGAAGATAACTGGCTTGAAATAGGTCAAAGGGAGACAAACCAACATTAATTTCCCCATTGACTTCAATCATCAATGTTAATTCCCGTCTCTTTGCAATTTACACTACTAACAGAGCAAAAAGTGTCCAAAGTTTGCATCAGGTTGACACGACTTAAATTTTGAACTAGGCATACTATAAAGATGTGACTAAAATTATCCATCTAAACGAACCTCTTTAACTTTCTTATCTTTCAAACATCAATATTTATCAAAACTGTACATGATAAAGGAGAGAAAAGGGGAATAAAAAGAATGAAAGACAATATTATTCAAAGGTAGCCTGCTGGTTAAATTTGATGGTGGTTAGACTTCATAGTCTATTCTTCTTTGAATTACATCGTCACTTCCAAATATGGTCATCAGATGTAAAGGTGTTATATCAAGAATGTGTATCTACTCCTGCAGGAGAGTGAATCGAAAATGAAATGGGATTTATTGCCCTACTCTTCTGTTCTGACTGGGCTAATGAAGACTCGCATACAATGTGCTACAAGGGAAATTTTGCCTGGATAGCTGCAATGAGGCCTACTCTTATAACGAATTAAAACTGCCAAGGGATCTTTTACATTCATGCTAATGTCACACGGGACCTCGGTTTTTCGTGCCATTCAAACAACTAGACAGCTGTCCTTGTCAGGCCCTCTGTCCTGTACCACTGACAAAGGGAAAGCACGCTGGAAAAGCCTGATGAACATTCTAGGCCAACACCGTGATCCAGGCTAGCGTGCCAGCATCTTACTCACTTAGCCTGTAGGAGAGATATTGATAGTCTGGCATAGATTCCCTTGTCATAGCACGCTGCATGGCATATGCCTTTCTTTATTAGCCCAATTAGAGCAGAACAGTATGACATTAAACCCCATTACATTTCATTTAATGATAGGCGACCCTACTCCTTGTCATGTACAAGTAGGGAATCAAAACCTTTCCATTGACTCAATGAAAGAACTCATGATCTACAGTGCATGTATTAGACTACTTGACCACCCAATCTCCCTATACAACTCTATAAAACCAATGATGAGATCGTGTGGCTTCTATACATGGAGGTCGATCGTAGCTATGTTTGAAAATTGGGTTTTGAAAAAAAAAGGCTATTTTTCTGGCGTGCAAAATGACCGATGGGTCAGATCCATTTACGGTCATTTTCCATAGCCCTCGGTCCTGACCGGCATAAAGGGCCAACGTGGAACCCATGGTACAGTCATATTGTCAAATTGTTTTACCAATTCACAAACACCTTCACAACATTAATGAAACTTAAAAATGCAGAAACGGTTAAAAGGAAATGATTTTATTGAGAAAAACACATAGCATGGTTTCTTGTATAACTGTGTACAATACATCCATTTGTGAGGGAAAATCTTGCATACACATACATAGATAATAATATTTGATATAAATTCAATTTAAAGCACACATATATAAATCAACAATGTAAATAAATAGCATCTATCAGAGCAGAGCAGCTTATTTGCGTAGATGTGCCGATAAACATTGAATTAATTCTCTATATACCGCAGTTAAATATTCAATCAATGTTCAGTTTCACACAGTAAAAACAATAAGTGTGAAAAAGAATCAACTGCATGTCCTGAACTTGTACGTTGTAATTTAAAACATGAGGTATTCTGTTCTATGATAACGATTTGCTGTTTTTACGTATTGAACACAAGAAAATTTAATGATTTATTTAATTTTTTTTTTATCAAAACCTTTCGACTTTAATGAATGTTTCTATCAAAATAAAAAAAATGGACAATTTTGGCAAGAATACATTTTTTACAAATACATTCTAATTTCACGATTTTTATAAAATTCTACAAGTGCTTGTGATGTAAAATATATTCTAATTCTTGAAAATTCAATTATTCATTAAAATCTAATTGTACATTTATGTGTATTCCTGTAAAAACGTGCTGTACTTTACAAAGAAATATTTCTTTATCACAATATCCATGATTGAAAATTCTTAGTCCATAAATTAAACTTTAGATTCTAACCATGACATTTTGAAAGGTGCTAGTAGGTGTTAGAAGCCAAAGGGCATGATATACACACTGTATAATAAAGAAGATATTAAAACAGAATTCAACAAAAGCTGTCTTTAGCCATTTGACATTAACCTGAAGCAGGATAGGAGGAGGCGTGTATATTGTAAAACTTTGAGTAAACAATATGTACAGTAATATATACATCTATTTCTTATTCATACCTTATACATGTATCATTTTTTAGTCAATTTGGAACAGGTGGTTTCTATGTGTAACAACCAGTGATTGTTTTCCATATAAATTGTGTTGTGTTTTTATTGTGCTTAATCGCTACAAGCCAATCAAGTATTAGATATGAAATACGATTATCAATTTGTTGTTGACAATGCTGTTAATGATTAAAAGAATGGTATGCTTGTATATTGATGATAATTTATACAGATTATTTATAAGAATATATCCTACCAACTATAACATTATGTAAAATGATTTAAAAGATAAAGTTTCAACTAAAAAGCAGCAGTTGGCCAATGAATATTTCTAAAATAAAATCGTAAATAATTTGTTAAAAAAAAGCAATATAAACAGGATAAATAAAACATCTACGTTAAACAGCCGTTTGTACATAATGAAGGGGGTAATACTCAAGGTAAATCTGTGCATTTAATATAAACACCACAGAATATCCTACATTAACTTCTAGATTTTTTCATTGACCGATATAAAATGAAATAGGGTTTCATGCCCTACTTTTCTGCACCGACTCTAGTAATGAGAATTTGCCTGTACAGCGGCGCTACAGCCCACTCTTATTTCAAAATCCAACTGTCAATCGTTCTTTTATGTGAGCACAGAGGGTCTCAGTTACTTAGCCATCCTAACAACTAGACACTGCCCATCACCCTTGCCAAATTATCATGTCTATGATTTTGAAAAGAAAAGTCTGAATAAATCTCCAAATTAATGTACAAATAAACTGTCATGTTTACGTAGATTCAAATTCTAAACATCGTCCTCCTGAAGGAGATCTTGTGTATTATCAATATCATTTGTATCACATATCTATACGTTCAATTCCAATTTATTGAATCATTTCTTCTAATTAGATTTATAAACAAGAGATATACCATAGGAGTTTCAATCAGACCGAGTATCTGGAGTGAACTGGGATCACTGGGCTGAATACAAATATTGCTGAAAAACCAATGATTTATAATGGGCCAAACTTGTAGATGAAGATGACCAGATATTGATTTTAAAAACCTGGGGTATAATTTTGTCAGTGAATGGTAACAACGAACAGTCTGGTGTGAACACATCTACTAGAACAAGTTTGGATAAACATTGTGATCATATACAAGATGAACACAATAATCTGAATTCATTTTCTGAATTAATAATTTGAATACTTCATTATTATAATATGTGACACCAAATATCATATAGGCAGAGCCAGAGAGTAGATCTAATACCTTTAATGTTATATTAGAGTTACCTCCCTTACACCAATAAAGTTCTAATAATCCTGCAACCAAGACTTTTTAACATGAATGAACAATTTACAAAACACAAACATGATCAGTAACTTGACTGGATTTCAACGATGGAAGAATAGACTACAAGAAGTACAAGAAGCCCTTTTGCAATCATTGCCACAAAATTATCAATCTCGGCTACCGAATATAGGGAATTCCCTTTTTTAAAGTCTACGTTGGTGTCCTTCAACTACGTGTAGTTCACAACTTGTACCTAAACCAGTGCTTCTTTCATTAACATGGGGATGTTTGAGCCAAAATTCCTATTATAAGAGCATTATGTACAAATGTTGAGGCTATTAATTAATGAACTAGAATATTTATTCCACGATGGTTGAAACCCTGATCACCAGTATAATCTAATATGGCGCTAATTGTGTAAAAATGATGAAAATAAAATACTGTTAATCTCTAATGTAATTTAAAACAAAAAGCGGCTAAAACTAATTGCTGACCCTCATGGCACGAGGAGGTTGCCGATTGCCGACACCAAGAGGTTCCATGCTGATTGCTTAGACTCCTAGCACCAGGAGATTGCCTGCTAACTGCCGAAACTCCTGGCACCAGGAGCTTCTATGCCGATCACTTAGACTCCTAGCACCAGGAGGTCCAAGCTGAAAACTAAGGAGTTTGCATGCCGACTGCTAAGGCTCCTAGCTGTAAGCGCCAGGAGTCTGCATGTCGATTGCTCATGCTCCTAGCATCTGGAGGCAGTGATGGTGCTACATAACATATATATATTGTATATAATACATATATATATTTACAGGATAGTCTGTAATACATACTTTCATTATATTCACACATAGCTTACTCTTACAGCACTTCAAATCCATTGCTTAAAACATTATAATAATAATAATAATAATAATATTAATAATAATAATACCACTATGATATATGGTATATATCATACTATTCACATCCATTATTAAAACATTTCCATTTGTACTACACTAAAATAACAGCTCCTATTTACAGCACAGCTTGTTGGCAGAACACAAGCAGCAATAGATTTCATTGGAAATTCATCTCACAATATAGAAAGCTTAATTAATAGATTTCGCGTGTCAAAATTCTCCTGAACAAAATGAATTATTATAAATGTCATGAAATATTCTAAAAGTTCCATTAAGTGTCTCTTTTTTTTTTCCATCTATTTTCTTTTTAACTATAAAAATCTCGAAACATGGCTGAAACTACATAAATGCCAAGATATTAAAAAAAGAAAAACAATTAAATTATAGATCGAGCAGAAAACATATTCTACAATAATATTAACAAATGAAAACGCAGAGAGTTTCAACAGATACCAATCCTTCAAGATCCCCCCCACCCTCCCAAACAGCACATAGTCTTGTCACTGTTGAAATACTGAGTTATAATAATCCAATCAGTCAGCTATAATATAACACTGAAGAAATTATTATCCAATATTCACACATCACACTGATATAATCCTTGTTCTTCGAAATCTGTTAATCTCTTCATATCTTAATCCAACACTGATGGAACACCTTCGATAAATCAATCAATATAATCCTTCTGATGTTTAACATTTCCTTCAAGTTCACATACGTAAGTGGGTAAGAATCCTACGATTTGCTGTTGGAATATGTCTAAATGATTTCAATGTTTATTGTATTAAATAACAGGCTACTTTTTATATCATGGCTTCTTTAGGATCTTTTGGAGGTGGTGGGAGGTCTGATGCATCGCCGTCTGTATTCACCACTTTTAAGGCCTCCTTAACGGCATCATCGGTAACAATTGCTGCCACTTTTTCATAACCCTCTTCTCCATTTGCTACAATATTTTTACCTGCATCTGAAACACCACCGGCTGCTTTGGAAGCAGTGTCTGATACTTTAGTGGCAGCATTAGAGGCAGCATCTGATGCCTTAGTCGCAGCTTTGGAGGCAGCATCTGAAGTCTTTGTTGCAGCATCTGAAGCAGCATTGGTGGCGCTTTTCTTGGCTTCGCTTGCTTTGTCAGCATATGCATTCAAGGCATCAGCCATATCATCAAAATTTTCAGAAGCTGCGTTTTTAGCCTGCTTAGCTTTATCATCAGCTTTACTAGAGAAATCATTGACAGCTGAACCAAAAGCATCAACCGATGATCCAGCAGCTTTCTTGGTGTTGTCTACAGCTGATCCAGTAGCTTTCTTGGTGCTGTCTACGGCTGATCCAGCCGCCTTTTTGGTGCTATCCACAGCTGAACCTCCAGCAGTTTTAATACTATCCACTGCAGAACCAGCTTTGTTAGAGACATCATCAACAGCAGAACCTGCTGAGTTAGATGCCGATTTACCAAATCCAAGAGCGGAGTTGAATGTGTCTGAGGCGGTATCAGTAACTTTAGTTACAATTTTTCCTCCAGTATCTACAACAATATCTTTTAAACCCACTGGTGCATTGTTGGCGCCACCAGGAGTGGATTCTAGTTGACCGGATTTTTGTTGTTGTCCACCACCACCAAAAGATGATGTTACTGAAGCTACACCTTGCTGGAATCCATCACCAGCTATTTTCTGTATGGAACCAAGCAAAGTTTCTGATTCCCCAGAAGCTTTGTTGGCATCTGCTGCAGCAGAGTTTTTAGCAGAAGCAACACTTTCGTTTACAGAAACTTTAGCACTTTCCATTTTCTCTTCTACTTGTTTACCAGTTGCTGATGCACGTTTCTCAGCATCACTAGCAAAAGCACTTGCTGAACTTTGAAGTTGAGATGCTTTTTTGCTGGCAATTTCAGCTCCTTCATTGGCTTTTGCTTTAGCAGAATCGATTCCGGCTTTGGATTTTTCCTGGGCATCTTTTGCAGCAGAACTTGCTGCAGACTTAGCATCAGAAGCAGCTTTATTTGCAGAGTCTTTTGCAGATTGAGCAGCACTTTCTGCAGATTTTTCCAAGTTACTCACTTTATCTCCAGCAGCTGCAATACCACTTGAAGCGGCACTCTTTGTCTGGTCAGCAGCTGAGGATAGAGATTCTTTTCCCTTACTGACAGCTTCTGAAACAGCAGCTTTACCTTCCTCTATCTTTTCAGCTACGACAACCTTTCCATCTTCTACTTTCTGTGCTACAAATTCTTTACCTTCCCCGAATTTGTCACCAGCTTGTTTTTGTGCATCTGTTGCTGCTGATTCAACACTCTTTGTTGCATCACCAATAGCATTTTCAGCACCTGCAGTAACTTGAGATAGCAGCCCTCCACCTTCTTCTTTTGTGGGTTTTTCGTAGGGGCCTTCAAGCTTTCCTTCCTTTTGAAGTTGGCGAGATTCTTCTGTGGAGCAAATATTTCCCATGATGATATCGTTGTTTTAATTTGTTGATGTTGTTAGGCTTTTTATATTTTTAATTGTTCTTTTCTTCTATTTCATTTACCTGAAACGATAAAAGAAAATTTAATAAATAACATTTATCAAATACGATTGCAATCAAATTATATGCACCTAAATATATTAATGTGAAAATTGGAATCCAAACCAACAGCAACTGAGGCCTCTAAGCCGTCCATAAAGACTGTCATTCTTCTATTCTTAACCAGAGTCTCATTAGCACGAAAGCAAATCTCAGAATTCTATTGACATATATGTCTCTCATGAACATAATTACTGTGTGTTCATTTCAAAAAGATTAAAGATGGACAAGCATATAAAATGCATCCTCTACGATACCCAAAGCTAGAAACAAATAAGATATGAGCTAAGATTTAGTTATCGATATAGTCTCATACCACTTATACTAAAAAAAGACAATGGCTATGGAGCACTGTCAGTAAGTTGATAAGGTTAACATAGGATCAATAATTAATATGAAATAAAATGAAATGGGGTGTAACGTCATACTGTTCTACTCCGACTGAGCTAATGATTACAGGAAATAATCAATCAGGTTAACACCAGATCAATAATCAATATAATAACCAAATATATCTAACAACACTACACCATATAAACAACATAAAGATAGGTTGCCAGGCAACAAAACATAAAACTGTCAATCAATTAAATCAGATCAATAATCAACAACACTTTCTAAACCTCATTCTCATCAGGTGAATAACCTCATATAGAGAAGTTATTTAATATACAACAGATGTTGACACTGAATCATAACTTAGCCCCTACAGAACACGACATATACACTTCCTGCTTTATATAATGACTAGTTCTCAAATTATCATATCAACTACATTAGTGGTATCTGATGTTCTAGAAGAAAGGTTTTTGTTTCTGTATTTAATGTAGATTAAGCTATGTTCACACTTTATGCACTGTACAGAAAGATAGAAAGAACAGAACAGGAAGAAGTAAGGTGTTCAGAAAGAGAAAGAGAGAAATGGGGGTTCAACGTCCACTCAAGGCTGGACAGACGAGTGAGACGACCCTACTCCTTGTCACCTACAACCAGGAAATCAAAAAATCGCCAGCTGACTCAATGACAGACCATATGATAACCATTCGGCCAACCAACGCCCATCTTATAATAGAGTTACAGGACTTAGCTACCATACTGGTATATATGTGCAATAGTTAAAATAGCACAATTTTTCATAATGGCCTTACAACAATAAATGTAGATGTCTATCACCATCTTTACTCTATAGACTGGAGTATTATTAATAAATGGAAGACTCAAATAGTAAATGTAGATGTCTGCCACTATCTTTACTCAATAGACTTGTGTATTATTAATAAGTGAAAGACTCAAATATTTCCATCCTACAAGACATTAAGGACACTCTATACTTACAATATTCACATCTTGCTAGACGGATCTATTAAAACATTGGTCATCTCGACATACAGTTAAATTCCCTGCTTAGAAAACCTTTTAAAATATGTACTGATCTGTTGGGTCAGTATATTAACACACATGTCTTAGTGAGTAAGGCGCTGGGGTAAAAAAACAAGGAATTTCTGAGTTCAATCCCTGTATAGGACGAGAAAGTTATAGGGATTTTTCTGTCTGGTGGTATACTTTTGTCAGTGGTGCAGGAAGAAGGGCTTGTCATAGCATAAACAAAGGCCTGTCTGTCCTGTGTACTCATTGACCTGCATGTGAAAGATCCCTAGACAGTTGGAATTCGATGAAGAGGAGTACTGGTAGAAATGCTGGTGTTTGAGCAAAATTTCCATCCTAGCCCACAGCATGGTGTATGCCTGTCTCCATAGCACACAGTATGGTGTATCCCCATTTTCTTTTGCCAATCTGAATTAGCCCGATAAATGCATAAAATAGGATGTAAAACCCCATTTCATTTTCATAAACTACACCTGTATTATACAAAGTTTGCGAGGAGAAGACTTTACATCTTCAGAAGCTATGTACTGAAACCTGCCTTACAACAAATCAACTTTAGTTTTATGTCCTAGATTGATATTCCCCTAAATTACGGTTCAATAAAATTAACATGGCAAGCTTACGCTAGTATTCCTGAATATTGAACCGCGTTAAGTCATTGACAAAGGTTCTCAGATTGCCAGTGAAGAAGAAATCTATATTTCCATACTGCTGTCGGTAAGGTTTAGAGAACTTCTAAATAAATAAATGCATGGAATAGAATTCCCTGAACAATTCAAGCTTGGCAATGAAGACTCTCAATTACAATTCAAAGATAAATTCTGGATTTGTCTTCCCTTTTAAATCATTAGATATTGATGCTTTAGGAATGTAATATTCCCTGTGTGTCTGGTTAATATCCATTCCTCAGTGTAGAGAATGTTTTAGTTCACACCAAATACAATGAAATGGGGTTTAACATCCTACTGGTCTGGTCCAAACTGGGCTAATGAAGGAATCTTTTACGTGCACGCCAAAGTACACACAAGAACCCGGTTTTCCGTCCCATCCGAATGACAAGACACCTGCCCTTGTCAGGCCCTCTGTCCTGCATCACTGACATGGGGGAACCATGCTGGAAAATCTCGAACTTTCTCGGCCAATGCAGGGATCGACAACCCGACCTCCAGGCTAGCGAGCCAGCGTCTTACCCACTTAGCTACCGTGATCCCCACACCAGATACAGTATCACCTGTAGAAAATGATAACTACATGGGGTTTACAGATACATTATGGAAGATTAGATAAAGAGCTGTCAGTTCTCACTGTAATAGTTAAAAAAATAGATAATGTAAAGGGAATTTGCTAAAAATTTCAGTCAAATTAATCCACTCTGAACCGAGAATTTAGCGATTGAATTTTAGGCCTAGCCTTGATCATCATTATTAAAGTTGGTATGATAAGAACATGTGTCACTAGTAATCCTCAACACTAATATTCCTCAGTTACAATCTGAGACGCAGGTCCATTAACATCAACAAGCCAGACGCAGGTCAATTAACATCAACAAGTTCTCACCAATGATTCAACATATGTATAGAACTTGAGCTAGCCACAATCCTCATCACCAGCATTCCTTTTTAATAAAAACTTACACTGTAACCCAGGTATCATTTAATCTTGTGTATTTAGCACTAATTTCTTTCACTTATTTCTTTCAATATCAAATCTGTGTTTAATAGTTCGTAAAAATTGTTTAAAATCACCAAATATCATCTAATTTGTAGTTGTTGATAATGAGTGTCCAATTTACAAGTGTTTAATTGTTTATTGATGTATAATAAATGATTACTTTTTTTTAACAGTGATCGAGAAATTAAACACATGTAAATTGGACACTCATTATCAAAATTAATCAGTCAGCTTTAAACTGGACACAAGTACAAATAAGATGATTTTGGCTGATTTTAAATGATTTTTACCAATTTTTAAAGAAGGATTTGATATTAAATGAATGTGAAAGAAATTAGTGCTAGATACACAAGATTAAATGATACCTGGGTTACAGTGTTAATAGCTGTATAATATTGAACTATCTTTATAAAACGGCAATCAGTAATATCAAAAAATATAATGCGAGTTAGCCACAATTCTCATCACCAGCATTCCTCTTTAATACAAACCTAATAGCTGTCGAATATAGATGGACACAGATCTATAATTTACGTTAATATTCCTCTCTCAGCTGTGTAATATTGGACCACCTCAACTCAACTCAAGTATAGATGAAGTGATTAGCAGTAGAAAATCATGTTAAAACCTCGACACTGTTACTTCAATTTCACTTACTGCTCTATAGGCACGACCTCATTTCTACAACACTATTACCACAATAAACTCATTTACAAGCTGAAGTTCCAATACCACTCATCCCCATTTATCAACAAGGGGGTTTTGTAATTATAAAATCAGGTCACTGGCATTTTTGCCCTACTTCAGTGCTTCCACACTTCTAGTACAAGCAATTATTAAACTATCATTATATCCTTCAAAAAACACTGATAAAAAAATCAAAGAGTCTTGGAACTAAAGCATTAAATATACACCTACAACCCCTCTGACAAATAATGAACAGAACCCAAAATCCTGGAATTCTTCTGATCTTCTTAATAATTACAGAACAGTCCAATATTCAACAGGAAGGAATCAGTAATAAAATTGATTATAATTTCAGAAGATTCACACAATAATTTTCCCCAATACCTTAATCCAAATAATCCGAAGAGAAAACAAAGCTTCAGTGAGCTAGATCTTACTGGAAGTAAATAATATTCTTACTCTGTGAACATACACCACTACACCACATATATATCAACCCGATTATTTCACAATATTTTCTCTGTGGGACGTAAAACCTGATTAATACTTCTTAGTCACAAACATTACTCATGGATGAAGTCAGAAATTAGACGTTCTATATTGGAACTTATCATACCTATACCCACTTCAAGTTGTAAATAAAGAAATCAATGATCCAGTAGTGCCATTAGTCACAGGAGATGTAAGAAACAGGACACTATTGATTTTCTATTGATTCTTCATCTCTTGTTTGGGTCCATTCAGTGCTAATTTGTAATAAATTAAGATATATGTGCGTCATTTATATCTTTTTGGGAAAATATTAAATTTTTCATGGCTAAATCCAGGCCAAGATGTTATATGGTACTCAAATTAATAATTTAACATCATTGCTAAAATATAAAATTTCTCATTGCTGCTTAATCCATGCAAAAAGTGTTCTAAGTTGATTTTTTAGCATTTAATTAAGAAAACAAATTCTAAATACTGTCCCCGGCTTGTATTCACATGGATTCATCCGTACTAAAATGTGACCCATCAAAATATTTTATCAAAGATAAACTGGGCCCCACACTACTAGAAAGGGGCCCCAAAGCTCACCAACTTAAACATTTTCCTGGCAATCTAGCAGCAAAAATTAATCAATTACTAATGTGAAGTAATGCATAGTTGGCCTTAAATATGAGTAAATATAGGCCTAGTTAATTAAAGCTATTCATATCCTGTAACTTTGGGCCTCC